ATAATAATAATAATAATAATAATAATAATAAAACTTATTATTCATTCAAAATATTTCCCCTACTCTGATTGGCTAAAAGCACACGCATAATTCACCATAACCAGCTACTGATGACCAAATTTGGAAGAATTCTGCGTTTAATGAACCGATGACGTCAAAAGTGCAGCGTTCTTGCAGGTTAATGCACCGTTAACCGAGAAGACCTGGGCACGAGGTTGAGTTGTTTTGGTTGTGAAAATAAAAATGGCGGACATTTCACTCGTTTCAAGAGTAAGAACCAGGCGAAATAATAGCTAAAAACATGGCAAGAACAGCAAGAAGATAACTCGAAAGGCGACATCTGCTATTTGGATAATATTTGCGGTGCTGAACAACCCTAAACGTGCACTATCAAAGATGAACTTAACATCGACGGATCGATGGATGTAAGCATGTTTTAGCCATGCTTTTAAACTAGGAATTATTTGAATGAATAATAAAACTATTATTGAATTCGGCTTTCGTATCGTATGAAGAATTATGGAGATCTCGGTGGGTGTTATCCGCCTCGGCCTACGGCCTCGACGGATAACACACTCCTCGATCTCCATAATTCTTCATAACATACTCAGCCTAATTCATTAATTGTTAATTATATAGCACCTGTCAAGGCCAGGTTTTTTAAATAACAGTAAGGCTAAAGCCTCCTTCCAGGCAACAGGAAATTGACCAGACTTAAGGGATGTATTGATTAATCTTGTAAGTAAAGGAAGTAGGACATCACATCGGCTGACCAAAGTTGAAGGCATAGGGTCAAGAGCACAAGATGTTAGGGACGAATGCTGCATAAGAGACTTCACATCTTGTTCCGTTAACGTCTCAAATTCAGTGAGGTGGACGAAAGACGACTCAATGTCCTCTATGTCGGGTTTATGGTAGTTTACAGCACCATGACAATCGAGGCGACTCCTAAAATTCACTATTTCTGTACAAAAAACTTCCCGATGTCCTCGGCGAATTGGGTCGTATCAATAGTGGGAGGTAGACAGTCGGCAGATCCTCTGTTTAGTAAGCGATTACTAGCGGCAAACAGCGTCTTTTGATCCCCGCTGTTCTCCTCAATGAAATTAGTGTAAAATTCCCTACGAGCCTTGTTCATCAGAACATTTTCTGCATTCCTCTTTACCTTGAAGGCAGCCAGGTCAGAGTCTAACTAGTTGTTCTCCATCTCTTTTCAGCCTTTCTTCTTTCACGTTTAGCCATCTTAATCTCCTCATTGAACTAAGGAACACGAGGTCTCTCTTTGATAGACCTGGTAATTAAATGAGCATGTTTATCCAAAACAACTTTCAGTGTGCTGTTATAACATTTAGCCAAATAGTCCAGGGCTTTAGGAGGATTTCTGCATAAATCAGTGGCAGCCAGGTCAGACTGGAAGGAATTGATGTCGATAGATTTAAGCTTTCTGCAGGAGATAGTCTTCTCTAATAAAGATGGTCAATTGGAGAGGACTATTAGGACATTCTGATACCAATTACAATGAATCATTCATAGAAAAGTATAGCAAAATTATCTACTCTATATAGATGACTAAAAAATTCTACATATATTGCCAAGAAGAAACTGGAAATTATGTTAATGAGTAAGGTGCTCTCGAGTGTACCATTTGTGAGCCCTTGAGCGAGAGTGAGACTGAGTATGAATCTGACAGCAGTGAGAGAGATCCAACTTATTTTCCTGATAGTGGTAGTGGGAGTGATTGGAGATATAAGTTATGTAACATATATATAAAATGACTAAATCATATTGCCTGAAAGAAAAGAAACAAATAGAATGTGCTGAGCCTTCTGGTTATAAAACAGATAAAAATGGAAGACTCATGTTCTTCTGTACTTTTGCACCATGTGGTATCACTAAAACTCGATTTGTCAAACAGGGAAACTAAATCAGCCCGTACAAGGTGCGGGCGTTTTAGATACAGTAGCTTTAAAAGGTTTAGGTCTGTTTATGCATCATGGTCTCCCATGGATGGGAAAGAAAGCGGTTAAAATGGAAAGATAACATTGTTCAGAAGCATTGAGGAACCCAAAATTACAAAAGAAAGCTATTGATTATGTACTTGATAAATTGAATCCATTGATTCAAAATGTCGGTTCTCAAGCTCTTTATAGTTTGTCGACGAAAATACGACTGGACAAAAAGTACAAAACAGATCGAGCAGATCTTGATGGCGCAGGCTTACTAGATGGATTGTTAACGTCTGGTGTATCGGGTCTCCGTTTCATGTAGATTTCAAAAAGGGATATGAATTACTGACTGATCCTGGATTGTTTTAAATTCCTTCAAAGCAAGAAGAAAAACGTGCTAAGGAAATGGTCAAAAACTATCAAAAACAATATCAAGGAGCAAATAAACTAGGTTATAAAGGTTCTTACACGAGTTATGCCAAAAAAAAATGGGTTGGGTTGGAAACCAGCTTTCACATTTCCAGGGTTAGGAGGTGGAATTGATATTCACAAAG